ACACACTATAGTCCTAGATCGTGTCATTTTTGCCAGGTTTTGTCTAGTGAAAGTTTTTTCAGAAAGATGTTTAAATAATAGTAGTAAATGTACTGCAGTTCTGTCCCTCACTGCCTCATTTTTATTCCTTTAAAAAAATGAAATATGGCACTACGCTGACAAGCAATTGAGTGCAACTTAAGCCATCAATATTTTGATCAGTTTTCCTGGAGAAACGGACCATTTTAAATAGTGCCGTCAAAATCGCATTAAAAAAAATAAAAGTTTTTGTTTACATAATATATGTGTGTGTACTGTGTATATTTATTATGTATATATAATATATATTATATATATTATCCGGCAAAGGATAAGTGTACACATATGTAGTTGTTTATTTTTGGTGTTTGGCTTAGTGTTATGTTAGAATCATTATTATACTCTTATACCTTTTGCTCTTTAATATTTTGAATTGTTTTGAGCTTTATTTTTTGTTTTTCATTTCAATGTTAAATTTTGAAATGTTGTTGTTTGCATTTGTCATTTTTATTTAATCTCTTTATTTAAAAAAATGTGTATAGGTAGTATTTATAAAGTTTTAGCTTTTAGTTTTGGATCTGTTTTTAGTTGTTTTAATACTAAAATTGATTGCTTCTGTTGTCCTCATTTGTAAGTCGCTTTGGATAAAAGCATCTGATAAATGACTAAATAAAAAAATAAAAATAACTACACATACATACAGTATATATTTTGAAAATATTCATATTTTTTCGGAAATATGTGCATGTATGTGTGTGCATATATATATACGTAATAAATATACACAGTTCACACATATATTATGTAAACAAAAACTTTTATTTCAGATGCGATTAATCGCGAGTTTGACAGCACTCATTTTAAATAGGCCTATTTATAGCTGTTTAAAGATAATTTTGTCAAAGTTAAGGAGTAAGCAGCATATAGATGACCTTGAGTTCAAGAAACGCTTTTTATTTATGTTCTTTATTAATATTTTTGCTTCTAAAAGAAACTGAAAGGAAGTGGGTATGTCATTGCGGCGCTGTAGAGTGAGGTAAATGAGCACATCTATGAGAATATATAAAAACAAAACTGACCAGATTCCATGGATTTGAACTGATCTCTGGGAGGTAAAGGTGGTTTCTCCATCTCAAGCTCTTTATGATGAACTTGGTTGTTCCTGTAATGAAAAAAGTAATTTATTGTAAACACATTTTTGTGTAGTAAGCATCTAGTCTTATATAAGCTTGACAGACTTACTGTTTTTTTAAATTTGTGTCACCGTAATGATTTGGTTTTGCTTGTGTACTGTACCAAGCAGCTAGAAAAAGAGGAAGCAAAGATTGAATGATTGAAATAAAAAATGGTAAATAAAATGAATCAAACAAAAGTGGTATACAACAATCAAACTGCTATTATAATGACTAGTCAAATGTGGCAGAGGTCACAAAGCCTATTTTTCAGTAACTATGATTTTGAGTCCAGTTACGTGCTGAGGCGGACAGTAGTGAAGTATTTTTACTTTGCTCAAGTAAATTTAAAAAGTATCTGTAGTTTATCAGAATGTTTTTCTTTGGAAAACTTTACTTCTCTACATTCCAAAGCATAATGTCTAGTTTATCAGAGTGTTTTTCTTTGGAAAACTTTACTTCTCTACATTCCAAAGCATAATGTCATACTTTTTACTGCACTTCATTTCATAAATAAAAGTTGTTGTTTGTTTTACCTTTAATACTTAAGAACATTAAAAAATGTAGTACTTTTTTGTACTCAAGTAAATCTTTGAATTAATTTTACTTGAGTAAAAGTAAGAAAGTATTAGATTTCTAATGTAATTAAGTATTAAATGATATTTAATATGAAACGTAGTGCAGTAAAAAGTACAATATTATGCTTTGGAATGTTGTGAAGTAAAGTTTTCTAAAGAAAAACACTCTGATAAAGTACAGACACCTGAAAAGTACTTTTACAGCGGAGTAAAAATACTTCACTACTGTCCGGCTCTGGTTACGTGAAATGACACAGAAGGTTGTTTTCTGCAGCTGTATTTGAGTTTCAAACATTTAGTTCAAAACCCTTTTATATTATATTAATGTTTTGTGAATTCCTTCTTTTTTTAAGTTAAATGGGTGTTAAATGAACTAAACTGATCTAAATGAATGACCATTTCCTAGCCAATAACAGTGGAAGTATTATTTATATTTACTGCAGTAAAAAGTGTGATAATTAACTCCTGTTCAACAGACGTATTTTACCTCTTTTACTGATGCAAACATTGATGATTATGAAAATCATTACTATCACCAGAGAGACCAGAATGATGGCCAGCAGTAATGCTGTCCAGAAATACTGACGTAAAGACTCCATCTGTGAAATGAAACATATAGAAAATGTTTAGATTCTATGATATATCACTATTAGATTAGCATATTTTGTTCCTCATTATGATAAATAACATCTCTAACGCACTAACTTGAAACTCCTGCTACTTCTTCTTTTCAGAACTGTTCAGGCACATGCTTGAAGTTTCTTATTTTCCAGTCAGCTGTGTTTCCTGGGTGGAGAATGTTAACCCAGTTTTAATATGCTTCCAAAACATGCTTTCAATAACTATTTTGCTATTTTAATATGCTTTCAAAAGCTATTTCGTAATGACAGAAAACGAATCCCTATGTGGTAATGAATACAGTCGGTTTCATTTGTGATATTTCAGATTTATCGCTATGGCATAAACAATGTCTCTCTAGCTCTATCATGCACACAGCACTCATCCTGCAAGAGACCAAGCTTTACACATGATTAACTGACTTCCTGCATCATTCTTTTATTAGCACTGGCTTATGCGATGCGACCTAATGCGTCCTACTCAGCTGACCTTCTCAGTTTTGGAATTCATTTATTTTAATAGTTTAGTATTTTGATGATTTTAATAATGTACAATATTTTCACAAACAGAATTAGAAAATAGACCATTATTCATTGAATCATTCTCAGTTGGTAAAGTGCAGATTCACACAATCCAAAACGTTAAAACAGTTAATAACGTTGTAAAGGAATATTGTATAATGCAACGGAAATATTGTAGATAATTCACTGCATGGATCTCAGATCTTAGATTGGTTTTAATAATATAAAGGAGCTTTTCAGATTGACAAACTTCAATAACCAATAAATTATTGTAGTGATGTTTTTTCTGTATTCTAAATCACACTGAAATTGCTATTAATTTATAATCTACACTTGATTTTAATTTATTACATTTTTTCATTATAAAAACTCAACTGTTTTATAACGGCTGTTTATGTGTTTGTGAAAATGAAAATAAGAAAAAACATAATTACCTTTGTCTTCAGTGTAGATCACATCAGTCTTGTACATGTTCTGTAAAAATGGCAATTACAGAAGTGTCACATACATCTGGGAAATGTAAATAAATGATTAAATTCTTCAGAACTTCCAGCCTCTCTCCACCCACCAGTCCTTCTACATAAGCTGTAGGTCTGTGTGACTCAGTGTGTTGTCAGGCAATTGTACATCGACTTTGTGTGTTTTTAGTGTGCTGTGGGGAGTTGAATGAGAGAGAGAGAGAGAGAGAGAGACTGAGGGATGGTATAGCCTATAACAGGAATAGAACTTCTGCTATTCTGCAGAGATCTGAATCCAAGCACGAAATTCACTGTCAGCTCAAAGTGGGGCTTCTATATGTTTATATTAGGTGTGGTCTCAGGGATTTGTTTGTTTATTTATTTGTGGTACAGTGGGTGTGGCCACCACAAGATCTGGTGAAATATTCATGAGTTTATTTATATATTATGGTCAATTTATTATTGTTAGAATCCACCGTTTTTAGTGTGCTGTGTGCAGGGGCGTCGCTAGCAATTTTGGGCCGATGAAAGAACATGAGGTTGGGCCCCCTACCGCACCAAACATACACTATATTGCCCAAAGTATTGGGAAAACTCAATAAAACTACGAAAAAAAAAAACATTTAAAGTCACACCAGAGGTGTTCAGCTGGGATTAGTACTTGGCTTTCTGCAAACCAGCCAAGTTCTTCCACACTGACTGAATCAATCTTTTTCTTTCTTTTTTTTACCTTGCCTTATACACAGAGGCATTGTTGTGTTAGAATAGAAAATGGTCCTGTTAAAACTATTGGTATAAAATTAGAAGCACACAAAGCTTTTTTTAAACTAAAAATTAGAAATTACTAAAGTAGTCAAGGTCAAGGTCAAGGTCAAAGTTTATTTATATTGCAAATTAAAACAACGTAGATGTTGACCAAAGTGCTTCACAAGCAAAACAAAACACACATAGAAAACAAAACGTAACAAGTAAACAATCCATTTACTTAAAACAAAATTGTATAAATGTAAAAAGCAGTCACAATCTGGTACATCACAAAAACTGCAACCCCTAGCATTTAAGAGGTACATACAAATGAACCAAATTATGAGTAAGCCTGTGAAAAAAGATAGGTTTTAATTGATGCTTTGAAAACGCTTAATGTAGGAGAAGCTCTAATCGTTAAGGGTAGTGTGTTCCAAAGGTTAGGAGCATAGACTGAAAAAGACCTGTCTCCCTTGGTTTTCAAACGAGATTTCGGGACATTCAGAAACAACTGGACTGAAGATCTGAGTGATCTCTGAGGAGAATAAAAACTTAAAATTCTGATATATAAATGGGGGCAAGTCCATGCAGTGCTTTGAACACGTAAGTTAAAACCTTAAAATCAATTCTTTGTCTCACAGGTAGCCAATGGAGAGAGGCTTGAACAGGTGAAATATGTTCCCTCTTTTTTGTCCCAGTCAGGAAACGTACTGCAGCATTTTGGACAATCTGTAGTCGTGCGAGTGATGACTGATTGATTCCAGCATACAAGGCATTGCAGTAATCAAGCCTTGAGGAAATAAAAGCGTGAATAACGGTCTCCAAATCCCTAAAAGTAAGTAGGTGCTTTAACTTTCGAAGTCGCTTTAGCTGGAAAAAGCTGGCCCTGACCACCGAATTTATTTGTTTGTCAAACTTCAGATCTGAATCAAAAATGACCCCCAGATTTCTAACATGGGAGTGTTTTTTTTAACTGAAGATGCCCCAAGAAATCACTGTATTTGTCAATCTGCGGTTGACAAAAAAGAAACTCTATATGAAGAACTAAAATCTTCTGCACTTTATTAAGGAATTGCCATTATCTCAAGAGCAATGAAATAAAATGAAAGTGATAGGGGGCAGACTTTTAGCTCAGCCATAATCTACTGATCCGGGGCCTTGAGGTCACACATGATCTCACTCATTAACATACGAGAGTGGCACATGCTGTTCTAACACACAAACACATTCTAACGTAAAATAATGTACAGTAAGATGGTGAGAGTGTGAGGGCGGAAGGCATATGATGGAATAAGAGTGGGACAACCCGCAGATGAAGGATGAGTAGGTGAAGATTAATGCAGAGTAATGTGACAGTTCTATAATGGGTGATTGTTGAATAGAACAGAAGCTCGCTGACCACAGATACCAAAAGCAGGCCTATAAATTCCACAGATGGCCCATGTGTTCGTATAAGACCTGTGATTTCACAATGCACACACACACACACACACACACACACTGAAAACACACTGCACTCTGATGTTTCCCACTCCTCTTTAGACAAAAATGTGACCCAGGGTCCTACTTGTTGACACAGAAACAATCACATGCATAAACGTACACCAACACACACATCAGATGTCAGTTTGAGGAACAATCCATTGGCTTCGCTTATATGCTTCCTAATAGCCTCTCAAACATATTGTAGTGAGCATATCCCAAGTTATGGAGACAATGCGAGGTCTCGATTAATGCGTCACTCTTTCAGCACAGACTCTCACAGCAGTACAAATTGGGACACAGCGGCCTCTCGTGGTCACTCATAATAACTACAAGAAAGTGGGTTTTGGAACCGGACAGGCTGCATCGTATTATTGCTGATATTTACCATTAAGACATTGAATTAAAATGTTATTTTTTTGTGAATGTCTATACATTAACATGAACACACACATACTGGCAATAAAACACCGTACCCCTTTCCTTTGCTCTTCTTTGAGTAAAATCTTTATATAAAACTTTACATTTAAATTAGGGATCGAGATTGTAGACGTAGGAGTCCAGCTAGCAGGGAACATTTTCAGAACTTTGACTAACGTCCTGGTTGTGAACAAACGTTATTCCAGTAACATTGATAGAATGTTCGTTCAAAGTTATCTGGTCTTTAATAATGTTCTCAAAACAGTAGGCTAGTAGGCCTACAAAAACATGATTTATATCATATTATTATTAATTATATGCATTATTATGTATACATTTATAGATCGTTCGTGGAACGTTTTTTTCCAAAATATTTTTGTTCTTGTTTCAGAGAACATTCAAGAGTAACACTCCCACAATGTTTGCAAAATGATCAAATTTATTGTTCCTTAAACATTCGCATAAGCAGAAAAAACTTTCTGTAATAATAATAATAATAATAATAATAATACATACACACATAAATAAATAAATAAATAAATAGTTAGGGTTCTGTCGTGTGTTCATGTGAGCGCGCGGCTTCGAGTGTGCTCGATCCGTGCGCTCTCTTGTCTGCGTGCTTTGTTTCATGTTGGAGCGTGGTGTTCGGATCCCGGCACTCATGTCTTGTTCAGACTCCGTTTCAGTTTGGTGTCGGGGGTCGGACACTCGCGCTCCATGTTCTGTTTTGTTGTGGGAGCGTCCGCTCTCTTGCCTGGCCTTGCCTTGCAAGTCGGTTTCCTCTACGGGGTAGTTTCTGTCTGTTTGTTTTGTTTTATTTTGTTTTTAATAAAAGCCCTAATTCCTCCTGCAATTGAGTCCTCTCCTCATCCCTGACAGTAATATGTTATGAACGAGAATGTTAGCAAAACGTTCTTATAACATATTTTTGTTAGCTGGAAGTGTGCTTGTTTCTGCATATTGTCTACTCTCAGTTTTAGAGTTTGGTGGTCTATATATCACTGCAATGAGCAGAGAACCTAGGGATTCAACTTTGCATAACATAGCCTCAAAACTGTGGTAACTATCTACTAATAAAAGCCTGCACTTAAACATCTTTTTAAAAATAACAGCAATTCCACCACCTTTCCTTGACTTTCTGGGGCAGCTGAAAAAGCCACAGTTCATGGGGGTAAGTTCTGAAAAGGGGCTTAGATCATTTTCAGTGAGCCAAGTTTCGGTAATAAACATGAAATCCAAATTTTTTGATGAAAAAAAGTCATTTAGTAAAAATGTCTTGTTCACTACTGATCTTGCATTTATCAGCGCTGATTTTATTAGCACCGTTTTGTTGTCTTGCTCTTTCACAGAGTACGTGGACAACTTAGATAGATAACAAGTATAACAAGTATTTACGCCTCGCTGAGATGTTTCCCGACGCCGGGTCCGTCTGGCAGTGGAAGGTATAGATGGTATAGATCCCGATGAAGTGATGATAGTTTTCTGTGACAGGCGAACTCCCCGGTGAACATATCGCGGGCTGCGGATAATCCCCAACTCAGCGCACGCTGAGTAGACGTCAGGTGCCAGGTGAGTTTCAGAGCGATTGTTCATATGCAGAAGTTCTGAAGTTGTATATTGAATTCGCATGATGATGGCGTGCGATACATAGACACTGGAGTATCGTTCACTATTCAAGGTGACGATAGACCATAGAGAGGACAACAAAGCCCATCGAACGAAGAAAAAGATCATAGTTCAGTCACTCACCAAATCAGACGCAGTTTAGTTTAATCCAGGGGAAGTACATAACAGCTGCGAGAATGCCCGGGGACAGTATTTCCAATTTTAATCCACAACACAGGTAAGACGTGATGGCATGTCTAAGGCACGATGGTACTGAACAAGTAATGCCAGCCAGAGCGAACCCACGTTAGCCAAGTCTGAACGTCACATCACGAACCAGCAAACTAGAAGGAAAACAGCACAACAGTAGCAGTTTTCAAGCCCAAAGACGAGTCCCAAAACGCCAATAAGTGGTGGAGTAACGAAACGAAAATAGTCCAACAGAGGGGTGGAAAAGTACAGAAAAATCAGTCCATGTACGGACTACGGAGCGGCAGCCAGACGCGCACAGCGTTCCCGACCCGGAAATGGTTGGAAAAAAAAAGGTTAAACCTGTTCATTAGAAGGGGGTGTCCCAATACTTTTGCCAATATAGTGTACAAGCCAGCCTAGCTATTCAAAATATTTGTCTGCAATTTAATAATATTGACCTATTGCTTTTGACCATGCGATGAAAAGCAAATAACTATAATCAAATCATAAAATGGCAAATAAAACTGTTTGTGAAACAATTTAAAGAAATTTAAGAAAGAAAAAAAAAAGAATTAGGGTGAATCGATACATTATGAATAATTTACTGCCATTGTGTAAATAATATGTAATGATGTAATCTATAAATTAGCAACTGTAATCATTTGCTTAATAAAAGCCTCCTTTGAGATCGTTTTGACAGACATGTTTGTGTATTATTTTCAATGTGTTTATTGCTAAGTTTAGTGTGGCAAACGGTGGCAAAATAATTAAATAATAATTCGCGTGCAGTGTATCAGGTTGCCATGACAACCTCACGAGCTTCCTTCTGCTGCTCTATGTAATCAGAGTGTGAATTTGTAGATTTTCTATAGCAAAACTAAAATTTGTTTAAAAGTGCGACTGACCAAATCGTCCGGTTCGGTTTGCCCCCCCTCAAACTCGAAGACATCTCTAATTAAAAGCAAATAACTATAATCAAATCATAAAATGGCAAATAAAACTGTTTGTGAAACAATTTAAAGAAATTTAAGAAAGAAAAAAAAAAGAATTAGGGTGAATCGATACATTATGAATAATTTACTGCCATTGTGTAAATAATATGTAATGATGTAATCTATAAATTAGCAACTGTAATCTGATTATGGGCACTTTAAAATGTAATAGCATCTAATTAGAAGTGCCAATGAGACACATACAATACAAATAAAATGTAATAGTGTGTCCGGCCACTAAGTTTTAGTGAATTGTTCCTGAGATTGATTATATATTTATTTACTTAATTACTTACTTACTTGCTTACTTATTGTGGAGTAGTGGGTATTCTGTGCATTCAGCATTTTTTGTTGGTTGATTTGTTTGTTTGTTTATTATGGTATAGTGGGTGATGTAAATTCAGTGAATTATTCATGAATTTATGCATTTATTTATTTGTTTATTTATTTATTTATTGTGGTAAGTTTTGGTTGTTTGGTTGTGTTTATTGTAGTATGATGCCGTGAAAAATTTACTGATCTTTTTTTATTTATTTATTTGTTAATAATAATAATTATTATTATTATTGTGTGTGCATTTATTCTTGTGGTGTATTCGGTGAAATATTCATTAATTAATTTATTAAAATGGAAAATCTAATGAATAGCCTAATAAACGAGACACATATACAAAACAAACAGCATAAATAAAATTGCATTAATAAAATAAATAAATATAGATAACGCAAACAAAATGTCAAATTCAAGTCTTTCTGTGTTGTTTATTAATCATGAATTTATCGTTTACTGAAGACAGCTCCGCCCATTCGGTGCGCGCATGCGCAGTGCGTGTTATTTCTACAATGACGTTGCTCAGTGTCTACTAGTAGTCTGTTCTGCTGAGCGCTCCTCGCTTTCCTTCAGAGAGCCGCTTTTCTAAACTCAGCCCCGGGAAACCATGTCCGAGCAGGCCTCGGGACCCACCCAGCCGCCTCAACAAGACGGTAAGCATTTTTCATCACAAGGAGAGGTTTGTCGTGCTGATTTAGCTGTGCTCGTTGAAGGCCTGCGGGCCCGTTCGTCCACGGATTAGCAAGCAACAGTCAACCGGCTGACAGATACACCTCTGTGTGCCTATTTATTAAAACAGTCATGTGATGCTTTAATGCTTGATATGCGTCGATGCTTCTGACGGAACGCTTCTTGCACAAAGCATTGGATATGCTGGTCTTCAAGTACACTAAAGCGTGTTTATTATATGGTCAACATGATGAAGTTGCACCCAGTGTGATCAGCAGATGACAGCTGGACACTGAAAGTGTTTTAAGAGTATCAGGACAGACGGGTTCGTTTTTTATCATGTCTACATGTTTTTGTTTGTAACGTTGTTCAGATGGTATGATTCGCATGCATCTTCTTTGTCTTTTGTGTAGATAGTAAATACGCCCCTGGCAATGTGTTAAAGGAATAGTTCACCAAAATTAGTTCACCTTCTGGCCACAATATGTAACGTAGATGAGTTTGTTTCTTGAACAGATTTGGAAAAATTTAGCATTGCATCACTTGCTCACCATTGAATCCTCTGCAGTGAATGGGTGCCGTCAGAATGAGATTTGTGAATTTTTGTGATGTTTTTAATCAGCAAGTAATCCAAACAACTCCAGTCCATCAATTCACATCTTGGGAGGTGAAAAGCTGCATATTTGTAAGAAATAAATCCATTATTAAGACTTTAAACAGTTGCTACTGGACAACATACATATTAATCCATTATCCATAATGCTTCCGTCAGTGGAAAAGTCCATCCAACCTTGTCCTCACATCAAAATCCATCCACAATATTTGTTTACAACTGTTTTGGACTGTTTTAGCTTTTGTAAAGAGTGTTTGATCAATATTATATAGGACGTGTATTTTAGCCACAAGCAATGTTTTGAAGTTAAAATGTCTTAATGGCTTTTTAAAAATGACAAACACTCAGGTTTTTTCCCCCTAACTAGACTTTAGTTGTTGTACTGGAGTCATGTGGATTATCATGATGTTTTTATCAGCTGTTTGGATTCATTCTGACGGCACCCATTCACTGCAGAGGATCCATTGATGAGGAAGTAATGTAATGCTAAATTACTTCAAATCGGTCATAAATGAAGAATCTAATTCATCTACATTTTGGATGGCCTGATAGTGAGCAAATTTTCTTTGTGTGTGTGAAGAATTCCTTTATTATTATCAGGTATGACTCAAATGACATTTTATGGAAACAATTATTTTCAAGTTTTAAGTCTACGCACGTGCTGCTTCAGTCCCGTTGAGCTACATTTTTGTTGTAGGTTGAGTTCATAACACAGCCATCTGTCATCCCTGAAGGCCTGTGGTTGCTTTGGGTGTAGTCGTCCTTTACAATCGTCCTTTGCTGCACTTTGTAATGCATATGCGTTAGTAAAAACTTGTATTTAGTCCTAATTAATGTAAAAACCAGCAATAGAGATGTATGATCTATCATGACATATTCGGGGTTGACTGACCTATGTGACTGCTCTGGCTTGGACTTGGCAAGTCTGTACTTGTTTACTTTGATGAAATACTGCTTGTCTAGAATGATGTAAGGATCTTCATTGAAGAAAGCGTTTTTTTTCTTCCCCTGTAGGCTGATGTTCTTTAAATGAATCTGCCAGCTGGCTTAATGGCTATTAATCAAGCTGAAGCTTTATTCACATCATCTGTGGCTCTGCTTCAATCAAGCATCAGTGCTACTGAAGAATATATAAAGAGAAAAACATCATATCGTTCATATAGTCATTTCTATCATAGATGTGTTTCTGTATATTCATTTTTATTTTATTATGATTATTACTATTTTTTCAAAATAATGTAATTGTGAGGTCTAAATAGGGATATGCCGGTATCAAATTTTCATGTTGCGATTAATTGCTAATGCTTTTATCACGGTATGCTGTATTATCACGATGTTGAAATTTAGTTTTAAAAAGTGCTGTCATAATACAGTATAAGAGGTTTAATAACATTTTTCTTATAACATTCATGCAGCATACAGCGGTGTTGTGCATTTTGACCAGTTGATGGGAAAAGTATTCTTAAAATGCATTCAAAATTCGGAATAATTTGTAATAAATAATTATTCACGGTATTTAGAAGTGCCCACAATAACAATATCGTGCATATTCATTACCGTGATATATCGCATTACCGTATACAGGCACAAGTCTAGGTCTAAAATGTTTTGTGGGGGTCATACTAGTTGTTGTCTTTGACGTGATATTTTGTAACACTTTAAAAGCCTCCGAACCTCAGTAAGAAGTCAAAGTAGTTTAGTAAAGGTCCAAATAGCAAAAGAGGGCTGTGACATGTTTGATTAGTGAATGAGAATCAAATCAAATAAAACTGTCCCAAATAAAACTCCAACATGTGAACTCAAGAGAACTGAAGAGAATGTGAGCTATTATTTTTGCTTATTTTTTTGGCCTAAAGTTTTATATGCTTGAAATTAGTACAAGTACACTACAGCTCAAAAGTTTGGGGTCAGTTTGATTTTTCTTTTTTTTTTTTAAATGAATCATTAAGCAAGAATGCATTAATTGTTGAAATGTGGCATTAAAAAATCTACTGCGATGTGACTATCGTGGAAGCGCACATCGCGATATCGATGCTGATACGATATATAATGCAGCCCTACAGTGTGGCACTGATGGATGTTTGATTGCTCCGGCAGGGGTTCTGCAGCAGCGCGTGGCTGAGCAGGAGCAGGATCGAACTGACTTCCTGAAGCTCAAACAACAGCTGGAGATGGAGTTCAACCAGAAGCGGGCCAAGTTTAAGGAACTCTATCTGTCTAAAGAAGGTAATGTATGGTTTACAATATTTGCTGATGGACCAGTAAGATACAGAAAAAAGAGAGATGTATTTGTTTTGTTTGTTTTAGTTTTAGTTCATTTTAAAAAATTGCTTATTTTTAGTTTTGCTTGCTTGACTGTTTTTATTCTTTTTGTGTTTTTATTATTATTATTATTTAGTTTTTGATTTCTGTTTTTGTTAATTAATTTGTTTATTTATTTGTTCTTTAGTTCACATAGGTGTAGCAGAAGTGTAGTTCGTCACATGCAGTTTTAAAAGGGAAAACAAATTCTTTCAATAGACATGTAATGCATCCATTACACGTTGGGCCTGGATGCACACATAGATACAGTAGACTGAACAACAAGTCGTCATAGATCTTTATTTCCCAGTGAATCTGTCCTGGGGCAGGATGAAACCACTAACCCAGATACATTTCCAAACTTTTCTATCAGCGTTAGCAGGGGGCTGAACACTAGGCTCCATTTATACTTAATACATGAATATGGGTGTAATCGGAGTTCAATTATTAGTCAAAGTTAATGAAACGTCATAGTGAGGACACGCTGTAATAGTGAAACAAATGCTGGTGGCCTTACAGAACTGAAGCTGTTGGTTCCTCTACATAAACCTTTGTTCTTGTCCTGTAAATATCTCAGAGGAGCTGAAGAGGCAGGCTGCTGTACTGGAGAAGGCCCAGGCAGAGCTGAGCAGTGTGCAGACGCAGCTGGAGGAGGCTAAAGCAGAGATGGAGACCATCAAAGCGGTGGCCACTGTCTCTGAGAGCACAAAGCAGGAAGCCATCGACCAGGTCAAGCAGCAGTGGCAGGAGGAGGTGGCGTCACTGCAGGCTATTATGAAAGGTAATAAGATACTGATTATTTTCATGCTAAAGTGTCTGGTAACCGATACGCAGAACCGCTTTTTATTTATTGTTCTATTTCTGCTGTTTGAAACGGTAACCAAATCATTCATCTCTATCCTGAAGGTGACTGAACTGCTGTGTGACAAAACTAATATTGCTTTGAGTAATAATAAAAAGTAAAACACTTTTTGCAAGCAACAAATTAAAGATGGCAACCTTCAATGCCATCACACCACTGCTTTTAAGAAGAAGCCATGGGTTAAATAGCTTAAAATTTTAAAGACTTTCTAGATGGCACCATTTATTGCCGTTTTTCATATTATCTACACTAGTTCTACATAGGTTTTTTTTTCCTTTTTTATTTTTTTTTATTTTATAAAGAACTACTTTTATTCAGCAAAACTTTTATTTTATTCTTTATACAAAATATTTATATTTCAAATAAATGCTGTTCTTTTTAAAGTGTTATTTAGTATTATTTATATTCTAATAGTATTTTTATTGTTATTTTGAATTAGTTTTTTCTTATTTTAATTCTTAATAATTTTTTTTGTAATGTTGTCATTTGTTTATTTGTCAGTTTTTATTTGTTTCCAGTTAGTAATTTTAGTGCCTCAACTTAGTTAGTTGCCAGGACAGTATTTCTATTTGTTGTTTATTTTTTGTCTAGTATTTATATTTAATTTTATTTCAGCTTTACTTCAATTAACAAAATACTATAGAACCCATTATAATCAGTGATGCTGTCTACACTGGACGCGGCGCGACACGACAAATCCCCGACAGTAAACTGCTGCCTCGTTCTGTCTATGACGTACTGACACAAAATTCAAATGATTTGCAACAGTCGCTTTGTCGCGTGACGCGTCCAGTCATTGTAGACAGACTTTAGCTGTTGCGGCGCGGCGCAACAACTGTCGCATCTGGTATATAGGATAGCAACGAATGATGACACGTATGATTTGTCGTGCCGTGCCACATCCAGTGTAGACAGCATCACTGATTATAATGGGTTCTATAGTATTTTGTCGCGTCGTGCTGCACCGCTCGCGTCCGGTGTAGACACGGTGTCAAGACGCACCATCACAAGAATACACGAGTTATATGAAAAGGAGATTTTAATTTGATTACATTAATGTTTAAGTTGAGATTTACAAGAAATATTTTAACTGCTACAATGTAAAGGGAATACTGCTGTAAAAAAAGCACCATATTTGTTTAAAGTGTTTACAAACCAAATGTTATTGCACTTTTGTTCATACAGCAGTACTTTTAAAATAAAAGTGCGCAATACAGTACTTTTGATTTCATTATAGAATTTTGCGCATAACAATGCGATTAATCGCAGAAAAATCATGTGATTAATCGTGTTTTAAAAGAATTTAATCGTTACCCAGCACTATTTAAAATATATTACGCATTCATATAAACTCCTACCCCTAAATGTATCGCGATTTGTTTAGCATCTCAACCGATTTGAATCGTCACATATTTGAATCGATTTTCAACCGGCTCGCAGTTAATCGTTACATCCCTACTTGGTGATCATAAGAGTTTGTTTTTAGTTATGTGCCTGAATCTCCAGTAAAATGTGTTAAATGCACTTTACACATGTTGGTCGCTGAATATATTTTTATATTATCCAATATATTTAATAAATTAAAATTCAGGGGACACATGATGTGTAGAGACAGAAGTGCAGACAGAAATCTGCAGTGTGTCTTCGAGTCCAGATTCAGCATAAACCTTGTTAAATCGTAAGCGTCATAAATAAACCCTATTTGGACAAGGAAGGATTAGCAAGATTTCTTTTGATCTCTGCCGTGAATGTAAAATGTGTTTCTGAGGCTTCCCGTTTGATGTATAAATCCTTATCTTGACGTGCGTGTTTAGATGCAGAGCGGGAAATTAAGTTGCAGTTCCAGCAGAAGCTGGAGCAGGAGCGCGCTCATTGGACACAGTACCGCGACGGGATGGAGCGAGAGGTGGCTGAGCTCCGCCGCCGTCTCTCTGAGGGACAGGAGGAGGAGAACTTGGAGAACGAGATGAAGAAGGTCAGATTCGCTTTTTGATTTGACTACTTTTTAGCATTTTACTTCCCCGAACTGTGAAAAAGATATGAAAGAGACATTTTTTCGGAATCGTGACTCAAAGCCAGAGTGTTTACATCGTGTTAGTACTGGGTGTGTTTAGCAAGCTTGGGTTTGTATTAATCTAGGCTCAGGAGGACGCAGAGAAGCTACGCTCGGTGGTGATGCCAATGGAGAGTGAGATTGCAGCGCTGAAGGCCAAACTGTCAAGCTCAGAAGATCGAGTTAAGGAACTCGAGGCAGCGAAGGTTAGACGTGCATAAAAAAAGTGGAACTGAGAGCCAGACCGTTTTGTTCAGATATATTATTAGATGTGACTCATTTTGTTACTTTCTTGTGGTTATGACCTCTTGAATAGACAAATTCACACCTGGCCAAGTGATTGAACGGTGAATATGTGCAACATTACAGCCGTTAGTTATGATTATGACTGATTATGTTTTGGCCTTAGGAATGAGTCATAAATCAGTTGAGTCTTGTAAAACTTGGTAGAAGTCAATGATCCAGCAGCCATCTCAGTCGTAAAGTCAAAAGATTGTAGATGAGTCTGCCAGTTTATTTTGAAACATAAAATGTTCATTTTAAGTCAGCTGTTTGACTCTTGAGGTGTAAAGGTTGTGTGAAGGCCTCTGTTTATGGGTGCTTCTACTTTTAATCATGGAAAACAAAGTTTGAACATGTGCTTGGTTAATTCCCAGGTGAAGGAGCTCAATCACGTCCTGAAGGCTGAGAAATCATGCCGTACAGACTTGGAGATGTATGTTGCCGTCCTCAACACCCAGAAATCTGTCCTTCAAGAAGACGCAGAGAAACTTCGGAAAGAACTACATGAAGGTACATTTCTAGAAGTTTTAGTTTCATAGAACACTGGAAGTTTGTTTTTTAACACTGTATGTAATTTTCCTTTTTGTTCTTATTTTGGTTGATTGGTTGGTCAGTTCAGGTTGCCACAAGCTAGGTCTAGTTTTATTTATTTATTTTATTGGTTGCACTTTTACAGTACGTGTACGTACATGTACTTACCTAAGTAATATAAGGTAACTACATGGGGTAGGGTTAGGTTTAGTACCTAGTTATTACCTAGGTATAGTAATTACTTTAATAAGTACATATTATGTACATGAGGATCAGATTCAGGACTGTAAAATAAAGTGTTACCATTTTATTTATTTACTTGCTTGCTTTTAACTGCACATTAGTGCATATGTCCAAGCAGGCACTGGTATAAGATACAGTTGATATATATGATATAGGATAAATATTTTTTTCTTCTATTGTTTAGGGTTAGTTTGGGTTTAGTAATGTTTTATAATATAAAGAAGTTACTACTTGTGTTCAGCAAGGATGCATTAAGATGATAAGAAGTGAGAGTAAAGGCATTAAAAATGTTACAAAGTTTCTATTTCAAATAAGTGCTGTTCTTTTGAACTTTCTTCATTAAAGAATTCTTTAAAGATTTGTTAAATCATATCAAGCAGCATAACCATTTTCAAAATTCATAATTATAAGAAGCATTTCTTGAGCACCAAATCAGCAAATTAGAATTATCTCTGAAGGGTAATGTGACACTGAAGACTGAAGTAATGGCTGCTGAAAATTCAGCTTTCAGGAATAAATGACATTTTAAAATATATTCAAATAGAAGACCTTTATTTTAAATGTTATTCCTAATATTATTTTAAATTATAATGTAATTTAAAAATAATTAAATATGACCATTTTCCCTTTTTTCTTTCCTTTCCTTTTTTTAACATTAATCTTAACGATCCAAAACTTTTGACTTTTAATTTGGTTATTGACAAGCATTATAGTTTGCACTACACTATACCTTAATGTCATATAAGGAAGTGCATACAGGATGTGTTTTTGTGTTCCGAAACAGAACACAAGTTCTTAAGGCGTGTTTTAAGAGTTAAACTATTTTTAACTTGACCCCGTCTTTAAAACTCAGCATTCATGGTGTCAGTTGCTCACAAAAGAGAACAAATGCATCCTGTGTGAACGTTCCAAACACCGTAGCAAACTTTTACGTGCTTTTTTTTTGTTTACTTATACGGTAATAAACTCAATCCAAATGTAATATTTGCTGTAAGGTTAGATGTGTTAGATTGTGCTGATGGTGTTTCATCATCATACGTTATGATCAGCTGTCACTCGCACGTGTGCACCAAAATTCTTGGTAACACTTTACAATAAGGTTCCATGTGTTAACTGTATTTAATGCATTAACTAACAGTAAACAATACATTTGTTACAGTATTTATTAATCTTTGTTAACATTAGTTAATAAAAATACAACTGTTTATTGTTAGTCCGTGTTAGCTCCGGTCTATTAACTAACATTAATAGATACAACTTTTCATTTTAATAATGTATTAGGAAATGTTGGAATGAACATTAACTAAGAGTAATAAATGCTTTAGAAATATTTTTCATTGTAAGTTTAACTCATGTAGTTAACAATTAACAAATGGAACCTTATTGTATAGTTACCAAATTATTTGTCACATTCACTCTAACTTGCGAATGTGAGTGACATGCTCGTACTGTAGAGCCGTGATAGGCTAGAGGGCTTTATATCCCATTTCCTGTAAGTAGTCAGTTGATTTCAGTTGATTGGCGTCCAGTTTGAATTGTGGTTTGTCTTCCAGTGGTTCACCTGCTGGAGTTGGAGCGGCAACAGCACAATCAGCTGAAACACACTTGGCAACGTGCCAACGATCAGTTCCTGGAGTCACAGCGGCTGCTGATGCGAGACATGCAGCGCATTGAGAGCGTTCTGTCCTCCGAGCAGCTGCGGCAGGTGGAGGAGATGAAGAAGAGGGACCAGGTACTTCTGTTGTTTAATGAACTGGAAGCATTGAATCTGTTCTAAAAGCAATTCTCAATTGAGGCTGTTTAGTAGGTATAAAAGATCTGGTTGGTTGCACTGTGTCCTAACCAGACAATTGAAGCAACAAGCTTTCAGTGTCAAGTAATTTTTTTCTGGTCTTACTAAAAGCTAAAATGCTTCATGAAGCACCAAAAAACCCTTTGCCAGTCAGAAAATTTTTGTTTAACACACAACAATGTGGAGCAGGAGTTTATACCAAAGAGACTTCAGTGTGGGTGGAGCTGCTCAGCATGACTCGACAGAAACCAATTTTTAAATACGTTTAATTTTTCAGTAATACATTTACATTTAGTCATTTAGCAGATGCTATTATCCAAAGCGACTTACAAATGAGGACAATGGAAGCAATTTAAAATGAACAAAAGACAAGTCTCAGTTAGCCTAACGCAATACACATAGCAAGGTTTTTCTTTTTTTTTAAATTATAAAATAAAAAGAAAACAGATGGAATAGAAAAAGAATAGAGCAAGCTAGTGTTTGAGGCCTTTTTGGCTTTTTGTTAATTGTATAATAAATAAAAGAAAGCAAATAGATAGAATAGAGAAGCTAGTGTTTTTTTTTTTAAAGAAAAATAAATTAGTAAATTTATAATAAATAGTAAATAAATAGTTACAGTTAATAAATAATAAATAAATAGTACAGTTAGTAAATAAATAAAGTGCAAGTCTAAAAGGGGCAAGTTTGTTTTTTTTTAAGAGTAGAATTAGAATAGAGAGTGTTAGAGGTAAAGTAAAGATGGAAGAGATGTGTTTTTAGCCGATTCTTGAAGGTGACTAAGGACTCAGCTTCTCAGCTGTCATTCCACCAGGAGGGAACATTTAATGTAAAAGTATTTCTATAAGAAATATTAGTGACTGATTAGTGAGCTGAGGCCAAGCCGCTACGACGGATTTCCATCAGTTCATAAAGACAGTCACTATAATAAGAAGTAGAATAAGACAAATAAGTTACCAATCATATGAAATTAGTATTAATAAATTAATTTGTACTACAGAGGTGGCACAGAAGAACACAAGTGGCTTGTAGGTACATTTTCAGACGTTTAATGAGGCTTAGAGGTGGCATGAGTGCAATTAAATTAATTCATGTGGAGATTAATGTTTTAAATATAAAATTGAATACAGAAATATTAATTGATTTAAATAACTGAAATTATATGCTAAAAATGAAACTAAATCTGCCAGCAGGTGGCGGGAAGTCACTGGTTTTATCACTGAATCATTCATTCAATTGATTAGTTCAAATGGCTGAATCATTCAGGAATGAAGCAAGTAACTGTCTTTATGAACTGACGGAAATCCGTTGTAGCGACGGAAAACTTTAATTCCTGAACCCAAGACACCACAAAAACAGCTCTGATCACGGCATCCTCCATTCACTTCTATCAGATCAATAGGTCTGTTGAATCTCTAAATTATTATGGAAAGACAGCAACATTGTATTGTATTGTAAAGTATAAGTATTGTAAAAATTTAATATTTTGAGTATTATATATATATATATATATATATATATACACTGAGTACTATGACATCTGGTTAGTCTTACTGTAAATTTATGCAAATATTTGGTCAGGAAGAGGATGAGAAGGAAAGATTGAGCCAGGCTAAAGAGGCCAGTGAGGATGATGGGACGGAGCATGCAGAAGCAGGGGAAGACTCTCTGCTCGGACTCTCCATAGAAGAGGTATTTTTACAGTAATTCTGTGTTTTTTTGATAATTTAATATAATTACTATCAAAAATGGTTGCAATCAAAGGCATTGAACAATAAGAATTTAAATAATCTTTGGAATGTAATTAAAATGTATTAATTTCTTATTTTTGGCTAGGGTTGGGTATCGTTTTTTTTTTTTTAAATACCGGTGCCAAATCGATACTTTTAAAACGGTTCCGGTGACTGAACCGATACTTATTAAAAAAATAAATAAATAAAAATTCCCCCAAAAATGATGGATTGGCTATTAGCACTATAAACACATGATGTCTGTTTCATTCATACTGTACGCCAGAGGGCGCCCTCACACAGAAAATCCACATATCCAGTCAGAGAATGACCATCCAGGAAATCGCTTATATGGACAAAGGCATGCTATTATAGCGGTACCTGAGTAAACAGAACATATAAACGTTTTGAATGATAAAACAAAGACAATAAACACTCGACTGGGACAG